CAGAACCTTCCTGTGAAAGGGGGCTCCTGGGGAAGGAGGCTGGGAACAACCACCCCCAGAGCGTGTGAGCTGAGGGTGGATGGCTGGGGTGTGGGTGGGCAGAGGACACCCCTACCTGGACAAGCACAGCAGGTCACCTCTATGCCCCTTTTGGGCCAAGGTTGGAGCAGGAGGAGGGGGCCTTGGGGGGGCTTGACCTGCCTAACTTCCCATAACCCAGAGTGCACACTCGCTTCATCTCCCTGTGTCTCAGGAACCCTCAGCACTGCCTGCTTGCCCTGAGAAATGCTGGAAGCTGGGTGCGGCCCCAGGCGGGGGACCTGTTTTTCCTGTTTCCTGCAGCGTTCCCTGCAGCCCTATCCAGGCGTGTGCATTCATGAATGAGGAACCTGAGCGGGTGCTGAGCATCCTGACAAGGAGAACGGGGGCTGGTCAGGTACGGGCGTGCGAGGGTGGGGCCCACTGGCTGGGTGACTGGAGCAGGCATATGCATGCGTGTGTGCATACACTGAACTGGGGGATCCCTGCCCTGCTCCCTCATCCCAGGCTATGATGAATTCAGGCTCTGAAGCCAGACATCGCAGGGTGTCAAGCCCAGTTTTTCCAATTCCTGGCGTTGTGACCTTGAACAAATAGCTTAACCTCTATGGCAGAATCTACTGAGGAGTGAGGGTGGGGAATGAAATGAAGATGCTATATGGAAGCTGCTCAACCCAGGCTTGGCCCCTACAAAGTGAGGGGGGCAGGGCTCCAGGATCAGGAGCCCAAAATGACCTGTGATCTGAGCCAAAGATGGGTGAGAGAAAAGAGTGTGACTGGCTCAGACAGCTGACCCATATCCAGAATGCCTGGGTCCAGTTCCCCATCTCCTAGCATTTCCCCGGCCTGTTCAGAGAAGGGCAGGGCCTTCTGGGCCCTGCAGCTCTTGAAAGAGAGAGAGTCCAGGGGCCTGTCTAGGGCAGAAGCAGGTCTTAGGTAGGCTGGGCCCCAGGAGGGCTAGATGAGTCCTGGCCACCTAGGGTCAGCAGCTGGGAAATCTTTAAGTGCCATTGTCCTCTGGGAGGCTTTCAGAGGCATAAAAGGAAGAAAAGCCGTGGTTATAAAGCTCAACCTCCTCTGGGATCCTATAGCCTTTTGTGTTTGCTTCATGCATTCATTTATTCACTCATTCATTCATTCTCTCATTCATGTTATGCCTGCTTTGGATCAGTCCTCTTGCTGGATGATAGGGACAAAGAAAAGAATCAGATGGACCCAGCCCTCTGGAAGCACCTGGAATGTGTTGGGGTAGAGGGTGAAAAGACAAATGACTAACATGGTGTGAGGAATGCCTGGGAGGGTGTTAGGGGGAGAGCTTCAGAGATGAAGTGACCTTTGAGAAGAGCCTTGTGGGATGGGCAGGCTGGCGTGCAGTGTGGGTGGGTTCTGGAAAGGCTTTCCAGGCAGAAAGAACAGCATGAACAAAGGCAGAAAAGCCTGGCAGGGCACTTTACATGGCTCTGCTCATATCTCCCTCTAGTCTAGGAGCTCTTCAGGGCAGGGCCAGTCAGAACGGGGCACAGAGGGGCTGGTGAGTGGTGTTGGACAAAGTTAAGTAGGAGCTGGTCTCGTGGGAGCAGCGAGTGAGGCCCCAATAGCATCGGAGGTCAGAAGAGGCAGAATTGAGGGCTGGGGATTTGGCTCTCTCCATATACAGGGGTTGGGGGCCCAGGAAAGATGTAATCACAGGTTGGTGAGCCAGCCTGTAGAGAGAGAGGGTGTGCAGGGTTAGTCTGGACAGGGGCCATGGCGATGGAATCCCCACATGGCCTGGGAGGGTGGAAGCCAGAATGTCTGAAAACAGGTGGAAAAGGAGCTCCTTGGGTTCTCTGGAGACTTAGGAAAGTCTCCGCCCCTCTCATTAGTGTCAGAGATTCCACTGTTGGTGATTAGCAAGAACACTGTGCAGAACAATAGGATGTTGACTAAGGGAGGATGAGGGCCCTGGCCCCAACTCTGAGGAGAGACCCACCAGGGCTCAGCGCTGGAACAGGAGAGGAAGCAGCATCTCAGAGGTGGGACTGGGTGTCTGTCCAGAGCATGGAGGGGCCACTCTCCCTAACTCCAGTAGGGAAGAGGCCTCATGGGAGAAGTTCTGGGCTGCAGTTCTCCAAGGCCAGGGAATTCAGCCCATGAGAGGTCTGAGTCTCAAAGGGGCAGGAAATGCCTGATGTCACTGGGATTCTGTGGCAGAGCTGGACACCCCGAGCTGCTGTGCTGGGGTGGAGGGCGGGGGAATGTGGTCCCCTCTACAGATCCTCAGCCTCACACTCGGGGCTCCACACTCCCCCAGCAGCTTCTGCAAGCCAGCGACTCCCAGCCCACATCCCAAAGTGTCCCAGCCTTTGGCCATTCCCACATCCCCACCGTATTCCTTCAGGGTACCCCACACTTACCATGTCTGACACTGAATTCCTCCTCTCCCCTCCCTTGCTCCTCCCAGACGCCTGAGCCATGCCTCTTGGCCGCCTCTCTCTCTTGCCCTCCTGCACCCAGACTTCCTTTGGGCCAGTCTCGCCAGCCTCCCTACCAAACAGCTCTCAGAAGTCCCCAGGCCTGGCCCCAACTTGGTCCTCAGCATCATTTCCCTGGCCCACCACACTCGCCGGCTCCACAGCCTCCAGTCAAGACCTGTTGCTCCTCCACCGGTGACCTGAGAGAGCACCCCCACCCCAAAGATTTAAGGGAAAGGCCACATCTGATCTGAGCCTTGAAGCTCATCACACCATAGCGTTTCTACTGTGTGCCGGGCACTATTCCAAACATTTTACACAGATCATTCACTCAGTCCTCACAGCAGTCCTATGATATAGGTTCCATTAATCACCTCATTTTACAGATGAGGAAACACGGGTGGTCTGGCTCCAGAGGCCAGGTTCTTCGTAATCACAGCGGTTTACTGCGCTGAAGGATAAAGAGCTGTAATTTCAACAGGTAGATATGAGGGATGGGAATGGATTTTAGGTTGAAGAAGCAACATGAACTAAGGCTGAGAGGGGAGAAGTGTTGGGCACATTCAGGTCACAGAGGATGGTTGGGGCTGGTGAGGCTGGCAGAGGTTGGATTATGAACCAGTACCAACCTGAGGGGCTAGGCTTTCTTCTGACAGCAGGCAGGAGCCATGGAGTGTTTCAAGCAGAGGAATGACTTTTGTCTTTTACAAAGATCCCCCTAGATTGGCGGGGAATGAGGCTGGAGACAGAGAGGCTGATGCAGTGGCTTCAGCAACGAGGGCGGAGGTGACACTGGGCTGCCTGGAGCAGGGGTGGAATGGAGGAAGTGCCTTAATGCCAGGTCCTAAATCAAGGCCCCCAGGCAAGAAAGATGCCAGCAGGTTGGCCCTGCCAGAGCGCCTCCATACCTGCCCCCTCTCAGCGTGGCACCACATAGGCTCCTCCCTGCCTCCTCACCCTGGACCTGCCCTGGCTCCTTGGGAAGGAACCTGTGTCCACAGGAGGAAAGCACAAGTGTAGACTCCCTTCCTCCTGGCTGCACCTTGCTGACAACAGGAGACAGAAAAGATCTGGGGTGGGGGTAGCAGGGTATTGGGAAAGAAGGGAAAATCAGGGACCTATGTGTCCCTCAGCTCCAGGTCCCCACCACCACCCAATCTCAACTTCAAGGGCCTTGAAATGCTTCTGGAAGGCCAGGCCGGGCAGGACACTTAGGGTCTAAAAGAGTGGATGTCTCTGGTCCTACAGAATCCCCAAGTCCCAGTTCTAAAATGAAGGGAATTGTGCAGCCCCAGGTTCTCAGGGTAGGGAGTCTCATGCGTCATCTGCCCTCTTTGTCCTCCCAGACACACCCACACACGGGGCATGCACGAGCCTTTCTGCAGACTCTGCTTGCATGACCCCCATATGCCAGGAGTTCACTCACTATCTCCATCCTTCCGTGTGGGACCGACCTGGATAGGAATTGTAGCCTGTCCCCAGCTGTGTGACCTTTGCCAAATGACTTGAAAGATCTGTGTCTCAGGTTCTTTATTGGAAAACCGAGCATGACAACCTGGCTCCCACAAGCATGTTGTAAGGATGGAATGAAGCAACATTCATAAAGCACACATAGTGAGATTTGAAAAAGGTCAACTTGCCCTGCCCTTTCACACTGTTAGAAAGTTATTCTTTGTATTTGTCCCAAACCTGCCCACCTGAGACTCCTGCTGGGATTTCCAGCCTGCCTTCTGGGAACTTTGGGCACATTTTCACCCTCCAGGCTGAGATATGTATCCCCTACCTCCCAGCTTAGAGAGGGCTCTTATTGGTCACACTGGTGGGGATGGGGAAAGAAGGAAGGTAGACGACTGGTTCTCTGGTTGCTCACTGTCAGCTGGGCAATCAGGCCCTATGGGTGTGTTATATACCCACTAGGGACAAAATAGGGGAACCTCAAGATAGCAATGGTATGAAAGAGAAGCTGGGTAGGCCTGGAGGAAGCTTAATTTGCCCCACAAAGGAAGTCGCCAGCTGCCCTCACTCCTGCCTTCACCCCAGATTTCCCTGAAATCTACGAGAGGGTCACTATCCCATCTGGTAGCCTCACAGGACACGGAGCAAGAGTGCTGTTTACAGATGCAGAAAGTACCAGAATAGAGAAGTATTGAAAACATATTTGCTGAGTGAGTAAATGAATGACTGAAGAGGGAGACCCTTGGAAATACTCCCTCAAATACCAAAATACCAGGCGCAGGGCCAGAGCCTCCCTGGGAAGCAGAAGGTTGAGCCTCCAGGAAGGTATGAGCTGCCCACTGGCCAGAATCACTTCAGAAGGCAATGGACACGGGTTGTGAGGAGGAGCCAGTCAGGCTCGAAAGCCCCTGTCCATGAATCTGAAATGATACCCTCTGGGATCCTCAGATTCTAGAGCTCAAAATTCCAGATCTAGAACGCTATGCTCCTGAGGTTCCAGAGCACAGTCACCAAACTTTGTTTTTATAAAAGGCCAGATGGTAAGTATTTTAGACTGAAGAACATATGGTCTTTGTTACAATTATTCAGCTCTGTGTAAACGGAATGGTATGACTGCATTCCAATAAAACTTTATTTATAAAAACAGACTGGTGGGCTGGATTTGGCTCTCAAGATTTAGTTTGCCTACCCCTATTCTAAAGTTGTAGAATTGTATGGTCCTGATATCCATGGATCACATGCATTTTTGAGGTTTCAGGGTTCTGGGTCCAGAGAGTCAGGTCAGATGGCAACAAAGGCCTTGAACGTAGTTGGGCAGATCTTAACCAAAGGTGCCTGGACACTTGGGGTCCCTCACAGCCCTGTTCAGGTGGGTGTGTCAGACCTCCCTGCTGAACCGCAGCTGTGATCCTGATGGCTGTTCTCCCTACCCCACCCCCTTCCCGTCAGGACTATGGATGCAGACCTGGGCCTCTGGAATGGCACCATCAATAACACCTGGGATGGGGATGAGCTGGGCTACAAGTGCCGCTTCAATGAGGACTTCAAGTACGTGCTGCTGCCTGTGTCCTATGGTGTGGTATGCGTGCTCGGGCTGTGTCTGAACGTCGCGGTGCTCTATATCTTCCTGTGCCGCCTGAAAACATGGAACGCCTCCACCACTTACATGTTCCACCTGGCCGTGTCGGATGCGCTGTACGCGGCCTCCCTGCCGCTGCTGGTCTATTACTACGCCCGCGGTGACCACTGGCCCTTCAGCACAGTGCTCTGCAAGCTGGTGCGTTTCCTCTTCTACACCAACCTTTACTGCAGCATCCTCTTCCTCACGTGCATCAGCATGCACCGGTGTCTGGGTGTCTTGCGCCCACTGCGCTCGCTGCACTGGGGCCGGGCCCGCTATGCCCGCCGGGTGGCAGCCACCGTGTGGGTGCTGGTGCTGGTCTGCCAGGCGCCCGTGCTCTATTTCGTCACTACCAGTGCGCGTGGCAGCCGCATTACCTGCCACGACACCTCGGCCCCCGAGCTCTTCAACCACTTTTTGGCCTACATCTCCATCATAATGGTCCTTCTCTTCGTAGTGCCCTTTGCTACCATCCTGGTCTGCTATGTGCTCATGGCCCGGCGGCTGCTAAAGCCAGCCTACGGGACTGCGGGGGGCCTGCCACGGGCCAAGCGCAAGTCGGTGCGCACCATTGCTGTGGTGTTGGCTGTCTTCGCCCTCTGCTTCCTGCCTTTCCACGTTACCCGCACCCTCTACTACTCCTTCCGCTCGCTGGACCTCAGCTGCCACACACTCAATGCCATCAACATGGCTTACAAGATCACCCGACCGCTGGCCAGCGCCAACAGTTGCCTTGACCCTGTGCTGTACTTCCTGGCTGGGCAGAGGCTCGTGCGCTTTGCCCGGGATGCTAAGCCACCCACAAATACCACCCCTACTGCCCACGCTACCCGCAGGCTGGACCTGCGCAAGTTTCACAGAACTGACACCAAGACAGAAGATGGGTTGGCCAGCAGTGAGAACCCCAGGCAGACAGAGTCCACGCTGACTGGTGGTGGGAACACTAAGGACATCCGGCTATAGGACCTGAACCCCTCTGGCCTATGCAAGTTTATATGGGGGACACTGTAGGGACTAGGACTTGTTCAAATTGGATGGTCTCCCATCCAGTCTTCTGCCTCCTGGGAAAATCCAGCTACATGGTATAAGGGTTGGTGCTCAGGCTGGGTCAGGGTTTAGTGTGGGGGAGATGGGTCTTACCTGTGATAGGTTCTGGGTCCAGCCACCCAATGCTCTGTCATTTGGCAGGGGCTCAGGACACTCCTTGTGGTCCAGAGAATCAACAGTCCCTACAGCCTCATCACCATTTGTATGTGTCAGTTGGGAAATAAGATTTCAAGAAAGGCAAGGGTTCAGGGCCAATGCCGCTGCTCGCTTGACTCATCCACATAAAGAGCTGGCTGTGCCTGCCAAGGTATACCTAGGCTGGAACACAGCCTAACCAAGTCAAGTGGAGAAGCAGGCCATTAGAGGAAAGTGACATACCACGATCACACAGCAGAGTCTGGGCCTGAGCTACCAGAGAGGGGAGGAGTCGCAGGTTGACCAGAGGACCCTGGTAAGCAGTCAGGGCTGAGACAGAGCTTCCCCCAGAGGGTCTGGGGTAGGAATGGGTGCCACAATGGACTCAACAATGAAGAGGGTCCTCCACCCAAGAGAGGAACATCTGGAAACTGATGTCATAAACCCATCTGGAGGCTCCCCTGGGCTTAGGGGCCAGTTTGAGGCTGTAACTTATACTAAAGGTGTTGTTGTCTGCTGAGTTGTGCCCTACTGTGTGGTTGAAGGATGGGGATACAGCCTGGGAAGCTGTCACCAACCACACTAGGGTCCTTTCTCCAACCTGCTCTTGTCTGCCACCTGCCTTCCTACTAGCTGCCCCAGCTGTGCTCACACATCAGGTATCCCCTCTCCAGATCCCACTTTAAAGCTAATTGGCTTCTGTGCCTGGTTCTCCTGGGCACAGAGAGGAGTAGGGTAGGGTCCCAGTCCTTGGGATCCCTCAGTTTAGGACTTCATGGTGACGACCAGTCAATTGCTGCTAAATGTTAAATCATTTAACTGGCCAGCCAGGGGGGTAATGGGAACCCTTTATTTGTAGCATTGCCAATTGCCATTGTGCAAATACTCCTCCCATGGCCAATTTCAGACTACCTCTGTGAAAAATTCCTGAAAATGTAACAATTGGTTCTTGCACGCAGGTACAATTTGCTCTAGCACACCACTGGATAATACTGAGTGGTTGAGCTATGGACCAGGGGGTTCAGGGAAGGCTTCTTGGAATGGGGGAACTCCTGAGCTGTAGCTTCTGAAAAGTGTGGTTTATCAGAGAAGAATCCAGGTGCAGGGTGCATCCTGGGCAAGCACATGGGGGCAGTAGAGCAGGATGTGCAGGAACTGGAAGCAGGTTGGGCAGCTGGCGCCCAGGCTCAAGGCAGGAATGAGGCCGGGGCTCCTTGGTCACAAGGAGGCCAAGTCCTGCCCTGATCATCAGGTTTCCTTTGCACTGAGTAGTGTGGGAGAGGCTCACACTTCTCCCATCCAGCGCTCTACATGGTATAATGGTTGGTTCTCAGGCTGGGTTAGGGCTTAGACGGGGGAGATGAGTCTCACCTGTGACAGGTTCTGGGTCCAGCCAAGAGCACTCTGGAGATTTGTGGAGCTCAGTTGGGCAGGGCCCACTAGCCTTTGGGCAGGGGTAGGGCAAAGCTGACAAACCTCACTCTTAACCTCAAGGGTAAAGACATTCTCTCTCACTCTGCGAGAGCCCTTGCCCTACGGGCCCACTCTGCCTGAGAGAAGGTCCTTTTCTCATCCCATGTCCACTTGCCTCCTATGACTTCTCCACACTTCCCACTCTACCTTGGCGAAACGGGGCACCCTCAAGGGTTGCTCTATTTAGAGTCTAAGTCCACAACTCCTTCATGTGACAGGGACCCATCACAAGCCATGACCCAAATGATTACTCTGCACTGTGCAATGCGGGTGACCTGCCCAAAGCAGTGTTGAATGCTTACCTTCCACATTCTAGGTTCTATATTTCTATTAATGTAACCAGGGTCTCTATGAGCTTTTTTCATGACTACCTCTTACAGACTGTCCTCAAGCTTTTCCTGTAGGCTCAAGCCTGTCTCTTTCTTACTAGCTGCTGCTCAGGTGGCACCCCATCCAAGTTTATAGGGTCACCCTACCCAGGTAAGATGTTCTGTTGGCCAGGAGTGTGAAGGCTGTACTCTGACTCCCTTAGCCCTGCTTAGACCCAGAGGCAAGGGTTACATATCATGGCTTGGGGGACTTGAGTGTACATTGGTGGTTGGGGTTGGGGCTGTGGTCACCACAGGCCCAAGTTCCCCTAGTTCCCATTCCTTTCATACCCTGCCCACCTACCCCTCCTGCAACTGCCCTGGAGACCCCGAAAACCTAGGGTCCCACAGCTCATGGAGACAACATTATGGCCTAGCCCCAGGAAGGCTTCCTCAACCCCCTGCCTGCAGATTTCTAAGGACACAGGACCTAGGGGACTGGGGGAGCGGGGCTGACTCACCATCTAATCCTGTGGCGGGCATTGGTGGGGGTGGGGAATGGAGACACTAAGGGGAACAGGGTCCCATCTCTAGACCCCAGTTGGACTGCCTGGCCCCTTGTTGTGGACATCTGGCCTTGTTGCTCAGTGCCCAGGCCACCCTCCTGGTGGGTGAGGTTCCTGATCCTCCTGCCTTACGCTATTTTCAGCCCAAGTAAGAGCAGGATTTTCCACTCCCAGCCCCAGACCATTGTCCAGCAGTGACATGGGTGGGGGTGGGGGGGACCTGCCTGCTCCTAAAATATCTCACTCTCCGGGCCTCCCTGCTCCCTCCCCACCTTGACATCACTTCCTGGGGCTGTTGACTTCTGAAGGCCACTGTGAAAGGGCACAGCCAACTGACAGGAACCCCGGGGATGATCCAGCAGCTGCAGACTCAGCTGGAGAGGGGCACGGCCTTGCCCAAGGTCAGTCAGCAGGTCAGCATGGCAACTGGACATATGCCAGGGGCTCAGGCTGCCCCTGCGACTCTGCTCCCCTTAGTGCAGGTCGATGCTTTTGTGGGATCTTGCCATCACCTCCACCGCCCCAGTTCTTCCCACCCCAGCCAACACAGGTGGACAGAGCTGCAGAGCTGAGGCCAGAGATACAGGGAAGGAGACGGGGAGGAGCGGGGTGGGGCTAGTAAATGCCTGCTGACTCGCCTGCAGCAGGGGCACTGGCACATGAGATGTCTGCCCTGAGTGGCAGGTGTCCCAGGGCCCCGGAGGGAGGGGGGAGTCCCAGAGGACGTTCCCACTCTCACCCTCCAAGGCTAGGAAAGACCCTGATCAACATGCGGCCCAGACACAGTTGCTCCAGTCTAGGTCCAGCTCAGGCTGCTACACGGTCACGGCAGATTTGGGCTGATCGATTTAGAATCAGGTGCATGAGGAAGGGAACTTGTGTACTAACCCGTGCCCCAGGCACTGTGTAGGAGCCTCTCGCATTCATGTCATTTATTCTTCACAACCATGTGAAATAGACATTCTTATCCCCCTTCGGCAGATGAGGGGACAGTCCCTGAGAAGTGACAGCTTTCTCCAGGTGATACAAGCAGTAAGTGGGTGAGTCGAGATTGAGTCCAGGTCCATCTGACTCCCAGATTAGTTCCCTTTCCAGCATCCTGTGACACTTGCAACCCCTGTGGGGCAGGGGGGTCTTGTAAGCAACCCTTCATGTGGTTAAGATGAGAGAGGCCATGTAGCAAGGATGAGATTAAGAGCACAGATTCTACGCCCAGACTGCCTGGGTTTGAGTGTGGTCTCCACTTCCTCCAGCCGTGGCAACTTGGGTAAATTACTTAATCTTGCTACACCTCAATTTTCTCATTTCTAAAAGGAGACACTACCTCCCATGTGGGCATTTGGGAGGTTTACCTGAGTTAACACACACGGAGCATTTAGAACAGTGCCTGGCCTGTGGTAAGCATTTACATGCCAGGCACTGTTCCAAGGGGATATGGAGTGAATCAGCCAGTCCCTGCCCTCATGGAGTGGACATAATTTGATATGGAACCACGTGAGGATAAGTGATTTGAAGGAAAGGACAGCGTGTCCGGCCAGTGAGCACCATGGGTCCCCCGTGGCCGAGGCTTCCCCAGGGTGTGGGGGGAAAGGAGCTGGTCCATCCTGGGGTAAGCTGTGGGACCACCCTCTGCCCTGCCTGGCGCTGGGTGGCTTTCAGGCACACAGGTTTGTGTGTGTTTACAGAACTTTGTCCAGGTACCTGGCGGTGGGAGGGCAGCAGGAAGAAGGGACAGTGGGAGGAGAAGGAGAGGGATGATGCCCTTGATATCAAGCTTCTGGAGCCAGCCGCTATGGGCTAGAGAGCTCCCACCTACCCATGGCAGCAGGGTTAGCCATTTCTCCCTGACGAGTGGTGCCTGCCATGGGATGCTGCAGCCACTCACTCCTTGGTTCAATCAAGAGCTCGGAGACCCCGGGTGGGAGTACAGGACTGGAGCTGGGCCAAAGCAGGCAATGAATGGGCCGCGTTTGCTGTGTGACCTGAGGCCACCTGCCTGCCTTTTGTGGGCCACTCACTGGAAAACTTCCCATGTCCCAGTTCTCCCTACCTCAATTAGGGCATCCGCTTCCTAGATTTTCATCAAAGGCACAGCTAACAGCTATAAACCCCAGGCACTCCCAAGACCCCCTGGGTTCTCAGTTCTGAGGACTAGCCTGGAGGCAGTGGGTCTCCCTTGCAATGGGTCTCCCCTACATCAAGTGACCAGAGAGGTGAAGTGACTCTGTTGCCAACACACAGTGCTGTGGATGGAGCCAGTCCAATGTCTGATGCTCCTTCTCCTGTGGGGTGAAGGATAGAGTTTGGCCAGGAGTGGTTGGGCTGCAGGGTGAGAAATCTGCTTGTCTTCCCAAGTGGTATGTGCTTGTGGTGGGTAGAGGATGGAGGGAAAGGAGCCAGAGAAGCCAAACTCTCATCCTCCTCTGCCCTATTGCACTACATGACTTGGTGAATTCTTTCTCCTCTCTGGGCCTCAGTTTCTGCATCTGCAATGGGGTTCGGTATGGCCCAGCCATTCTTCCTCTAGTAGGGGCTTCCTGGGCTTGCCTCTGTCTTGGCTCCAGCTTAGCCAGGTGTTCAGTCTCAGCCCTATTCCAGCCAGGAACAATGGGCCAGACCGGGCGAGTCACTCATCGGCCCCAAACCCAGTCCCTGAGGGCTCCACCCTGGACTATTTTCAGCCCTCGGAGATGGAGTCAGAAGAGGATTTTCCACTCCTAGTACAATGGCTGCACTGGACCATTGTCCAGCAGTGACTGGAGATACGCCTGCCCCAAAATATCTCCCCTGCCCCAGTCCTCCGGGCCTCCCTGCCTGCTCCTCGCCTCCCCACCTTGGCATTGCTTCTTGGGGCTGTTAACTCCTAAAGGCCACTATGAAACAGCACGTGAGTCCCCAGGGAGACATGACCAGTTGGAATCAGTTTTCTGTGCTGGCAGTGATCCCAGGGATTGTTTGGCTGCTTAGAGGCCCAGAGAGGGCTGTGCCTTGGCCAAGGTCATGCAGCGGTCAGCATGGAGACTAGATGTGACTCCAGGATGCTCTAGCTGCTCCTGCTGTCTTGGCTGCTTTCACTAGCACTAGTCTGTACTTCCTGGGGGGTGAGAGCTTACCTTCAAGGTTTGGGGTGGACATCCTGGGAAGAAGCCTGAGTGGCATGGGTGGGAGGGGTG